AAAATCCTCAATATAGTCTTGAAACAAGACTAAAGTCTAAAAAGGTGTTGACAAGAATGAGGAAGGCTTCATTCTTGCCTTCATATATACTCTCTAACTAAAAGCTACGTGACAATATTCTATAAGACTTCCAACATATATTGACTTTGCTAGCCATATGTCTTAACTTAAAAGGCAAGTTATCTATGTATGTACTCCATAGTTAGCTTATTCTATAAGCTAATATACAAAGTTAACTTGTTCCACAAGCTACTAACATGTGATTAACTTGTTGACCAAGTTTCTATCCTACAAATACATCTAAAGTAAAAACTGCATTTATAAAGCTTCTAAGAAGCTAATCTAGAAGTCTTTGTGAAATTAATTTATATTTAACTAATTTTACTTAATCATATAAGTAACTATTGGAGTAAATGTATATGTTTGTGACAAATATTCACTATTTTATGTGGCTCCAAAAGAGATCAGTGAAATAAAAGATGAATCTTCATAGATTCTAATAGATATAATCAATAAGCAACTAAATTGATTTATTTTTAAAGAAGAAATGGATCAAGCCTATAATAATCTAAGATGTCATAAGAACAACTAGTTGTAATATTGTGATGAAATAACCTTACCTTGTTGCCAATATGGAATCAAAGTTGTTCTTTATAATAGGCATTTATGTTGAACTTTTGTTGTTTATGAGCTTGTTATTATCACATGTAGTTTAGATAAATGATTTGTTAAAACATAGTATTATCAACTTTTGAAAAGTCAATAGTATCAAATTATAGAGAATAATTATAATTAACAAAAGAATATATTTATTGAATAGATAAAAATATTATATTATTATAAAAAAACTTTGCCAATGGCAAAAAGAACTATACAATCATTTTGATGATAATTAATCATACATCTCAAATGTAGCTCTAAAATTCAATTTACATGCTCTTTTTGTCTATTCTTTTGAAGATAGAAAGCCATACACAAACTTGTGTCTATCTTCAATATCTTAAAAATGAATCTCTAAAATATTGATAAATATTGTATCTTTCTATTTCATATAATATCCTTTGACAATGCATGATAGTAATAAATATCATCAAAAAATAGTTTAGCTATTTTTTTATTTATGATAGATTTTGTATATGGTACAAAATATGCCATCTTAGTGAAATGATCTAAAATCACAAAAATAAAATCATATGAACTTGTAAATAAAAGATCTATGATAAAATCCATAGAAACATAAGACCATGGTTGTTTTGAAATAGGAAATAGTTAAAGAAGTCTACAAAGTCAATGATAAGGAGTTTTTAATTTCAAACAAATGTCACATGATTGTACAAAGTCTTTAATTACGTTCTACATTTGAAGCTACTAAAAATCTCTTAATATTAGTTCCAAATTCTTGTTAGATCCAAAAAATCATATTATTGGAAAGTTAGGACAAGCTTGAAAAATATATAATTGTGCTTTTTCTTCTAAAATATATAAGCATCATTCAAAATAAAATAGATTATTTTTGAATTCAAATTCAAAAGCATCATGAGACTTAAAAAAATTAATTTTAATATCATAAATAAGAAGATCAAAGGACATACTTGAAAAATGTTGAATCAACAATCAATGTTGATTTTATTACTCATAGTTGAGAATGCTTTGATTTTAAGAGAATCATTCTTTATTAATTAATAGCTTCATCTTATTTTTTTGATGTAAGATAAGAATTTTTAAAAAAAGATCTTATAAATCTTATTATTTTTTAAATTGATAAGTAATTCTAAAATTAATTATTGATAAAGACATGTTCCAATGGCCTTGGTGATGACTCAAAACACTTATTGCCATAAAATTCTTAAAATTCTTATGATTTGTATATACAATGATTAAATTAAAAGTAATTTTTATGTAATGATGTCATTCTTGAAATCAATCTATAATTATAAAAAAATCTTTGTTGTGGATCTTATAATTGATTTTGATTGTTGAAAATTTCATAAATTCAAAAGCTACTAAGTGGAGTTTATCATATACTCTCAAGTGTAACAACACAATATATCAATGGCAAAGTTTGATGCATTTTTTTTTTTTTTATAAAGATTGCCTTAAAAAAATTGATATGATAGAAGATTTGTGTAGAAATAAATGTTGTCTTTTAAGCTTAAAAAGATGCTTTAGTTTCTTTACTCTACTCAAGTTTGTCTTTACATGTTAGATGTATAAGAGGAGTCGTGACTTAAAAAAAGTTCTTGATGAAGATCCAATAATAAATGACAAATCCTAAAAAATATCATTTATTTATTTATTTATTTTACTGATTTTGAGACTTTTTAATTTATAATAGTTTGAATTTTTTTAGAATCTACCATAAGGCCATCTTTCGAAATGATATATCTTAAGAAGTCAACTTTAGTAGAATATAAAATTCATACTTAAATTTATCTTGATGTATAGTCTTATATTTCTAAGTTTTTGTAACATACGACAAACATAAAATTCATCCTCTTCTATGTTTTTAGAATAGATTAGAATGTTGTCCAAATAATAGATGACCAAATTATTAAGAAACTCACAAAAATAAACATCATTTATTAGATGTTAAAAAATAATTGATATATTTGTGAGTCCAAATAATATAATATTATTTTTAAAATATCCATACTTAGTTTGAAATGCAATCTTTCAGCCATCTCTCTCTTTGATATATATCATGTTGTATGCTCTTCATAGATTTATTTTTGTATTAGACTATATTTGATTGAGTTGATTTAGACATCTTGAAATCAAAAGTAAAAGATACATATTCTTTTTGGTGACCTTTTTGAGCCTTTAATAGTTCATACACATTTGCAATAATCCATCTTTCTTCTTCAAAAATAAGATAAAAATTCTTGTTGGAGAGTTTGAATGGCGTATGAAGTTTTTAGATAAGTTCTTGTCAATGTATTCCTTGAATGCAATCAAATACTTTTGCAATAAGCTATAGATTGGTCCATATGATAATTGAGCTCCTTCTAGAAGATCAATTGAAAAATCATAAAAAACATTCCATAATCTTAAAAAACATTGGATGAATTTGGAATGATAAATTTCTTACTTAAGCATATTCTTCTACCAAAAGAATTTATCACTCAATCTGACACATAGATCCCACTAATTGATACCATTGAATATTATAAGATAGTTGATAAACTTCTATTCTTCATTGATATAAGATCCAACCTATCTTATTTAATAGGCATTGTTGTTAGATTTATGGCCAAATTAAAACAACAACATTTAAAAGCAGTTAAGTATATTTTAAAACATATGAAAAAGATAGATAATTTTAAAATTTATTTTATATGTTGTTCAAATCTTTTATGAATCCAAATTATTTTGATTGCCTTGAGACTCAATACTCTACTATTAGATATATATATTCAAGCTTGCATATGGACCAATTGCCTATTCTAGTAAAAGACAATCAATTATTTTTCTTAATATTGTAGAGACAAAATACAAGGCATTTTTAGAAGCTACCGAATAAGCAATTTATCTACAAATGTTACTCTCTAAATTACACATTTTATTTACATCTAAGATACCAATGCATTCATCAAATAAATCAATTGAATCTAATCTTGTTGAAACTCACATTTCAACAACACATGATTTTTATTTCAACTAAAATATGTGCTCAATTTTTCTTACTCAAAATCTTATATTTTAAACAAGGACTAAGCACATCAAAGAAAATCATCACTTTGAACAAAAATAGATTTTTAGATGAGAAGTCTCTTTGAAACATGTTATCACCAAATTGTAACATGCAAATATATTCATAAAATAAGTTATTAAACAATGTTTTGAAAACCATCATTACTTTATTGAAGTACACTCTCTCCAAAATTCTATGTCATATCCAATTTATGAATTGCCATCTTCAATCATGAGGAAGTGTTGAAAAGAAATTGACCATCATGCTCAACCTACAAAGATTTGATTGTGCTAATTGTTTAAGTGTAGAATAAGTTAAGATTATTATTTGGCATTGCTACAAGATTAGTCAGTCTATTGCATATCCTCCAATAGATGTAGCATCTTGACTAGGGACCTCCAATATCCTTTAAATTCTGTGTCCTGTGCTTGTGTTCATATCACAGTTAGTCTTGATATCGTTTGTAGAAATCTTCAGTTTGGTTCGATCAATTGCACCATAATCTTAGGAGTTTTACAAACGTCGGGGAAACATAGTGATCTACAGCCCGGATTGACGGGTGATTTTTCTACCACAATGCGCTCCCCAGAACTAAACGTAGTAAGAACTATATGATGATTCAGCTTCCCCAAATTTTCCTGCACTTTTCTCCTGCACTTTTCTCCATATCAAGAGATGAATAAAACGGTTCCAAAATTGACACAGGCCTATCCCGAATCGCCACTTTTGCCAAAGCAACTTCTGGGTTCAAAAATAGTGGGTAAATTTGACGGTAGCACCCTCACGCTACGATGTGATCGTTTGTGCCATCATCTAATCGAAGCTGGAACAATTGCTACTACCCATGGCATTCGAGGCTCAGGGCAGTAGACTCGAGACAGAGTGATCTGACACCCAGAAGCACGCCACCTTACCCGAGGTGGTGAAGGCACACTAGGAGATGGTAGGATACCGAAGCCCAGAAACTTCAGGATCCACCAGGCCACAGAATGCAACGTAGAGTGATGTGCTCCGCTGCTGCGTTGCTCAGTTCCAGTACCGCTCAAACAGATTTCAATCAATTGTGAGGTTTTTGCAACAATGAGTTCTTGAGGGATCTATTGTTGCCATGAACAGTATTAAGAGGAATTACCATCTGCAAACCCGACTTCGGACGGTTAAGCAATTCCTACATGATCCCTCAGGATCTTGTTTCTTACAGTTGGCTGGCAATTTCACAACTAGCATTCATTAAGTTCCAGATCGTCGCCGTCTGTGCACATGTAGAACTATCGAGACACTGCCACCCCTTCTGATACTCTAACCAATATGCCAAACATTGTGGTACTTCATTTCATTAAACACATCCAGAAACAATCCTAAGATTGAGCAAATTGCCAGAAGACTCTAGGTTCCGTTGTCTCATGTTTATGTCGACTCGATTCAAATCGAGAGACTTTGCATTTAAGTAATGGTCAAATCTACTCCTATGGCTACCTTGTCAAAAGACATTCATTCAAGCATAAACCTGAATCGTTGTAAAAGTACTGAAAACTTTGATACTAAGTGATTAGGAGCGGTGTTGTTTGCTTTCTACTTCTGTTTCAACACCTTCATGAAATTCTCTTTCTGCTCTTGAGTCATCCCCATCAGCGAGCAATCGCCCACCCCCCATTCTGCTCCTCGCTCGCAGTATTTGTCAGCGATCTCCTTCTTGTGCCTGCACCTCGCAACATCCCGTATTACGTCAGAGTGACAAGGTTCACCTACTTGAAAGCTTCAGATTGTATAATTTTAAAATCCGAGGTATTAAGACAAGGTTTCAGTCCAAAGTTAGGCATTCCATCAATCCAAGGGTTTAGGGTTTATTGCAATTCGGCAACGTGGACACCACCCTGTCCATAAAAAGAAACCCTGGGGAGAGTAAAGTTCAGAGCTACAAACAACAACAGATTGATGACCAGACCTTTGAAGCGAAGGTTCGTAAAAGAAAATTAAAAATTAAAATCAAACAGATATAGTAGGACATCGTTCATCCTGGTATGTGTTCTTTCTCTAGATGCATAAAAGGGAACGAGAGAAAATAATTACAAGGCAGCGTTGTCTTTGGATTTCTTGAGCAATTCTTGAAGATAAGATGAATTCTTGAACGTCTCGTCTTGGCCTTCGTACATTTTCCTCTTGTCATCTGCATCAGGAAGACGTGGTGTTGAAATTAAGACGTCAACATTGTAATTATTTTGCCTTAAAAGCCAGGGTTACCAGAGGGCACTTCGTCACCCAAATATTCCTTCGAATAATCCAGAGGAGAGTGGTATGGAGGAATCTTATTAGGATTGATTGATGCACCTCAATTACCTTGCAATTGCTTCAGGAATCCGGGTTCTGGAATTGGCGGCAGCTGGACAGATTCCATGCCTGATGCTCCGGATAATATCCCAGCGTCAGCTACGAAAATTTCATCAATCCAGAAGAATAGTTAGCCAGCTAATCAGCCAAGAGCGAATACTAGGAGATAAAATGAACCTCCGCCATTGAACACAAAAAATTGAACCAGCCGTAAGGCATCAGTTCTAAATAAACCTCCTTCTACACAAAAATCGACAACAGCAAACCTTCAAATAACAGAATAAAACCCCTAGCTCGATCCCTTCAGTCCAAAGGAGATGACCCACAACCTTGTGGCGATGCGGTGAAGACGGTGAAAGCAGCAACAGGAATAATCACAGCCATCTTCAAACTCTCCCGCACCGCAGAACTCAAACTACAGGCGCAAGTCACTCTGCAGGTGCTCCTCCCGGAGTTGACGCCCGCGAAACCTGATCTCATCGGCAATGCCGCCTGACCCAAGAACGAAGTACACAGCAACTGGCTGGAGGTGGTGGCCATGGCGCGACCACTCTCTCTCTCCCTACCACTAAAATTTCCCGTCAACCCACTCAGAATCACACCTGCCCCGCAACCCTCCTTTCCCTTCAATTTCTTCCAGGTGCAATCCTTATCAACTTCCTCCCCAGCTCAGAGATTGGCGAGGCTGTCGTCGTGAATCTCGCGTTTCAGCTGCAGCAAACTAAGAATTCAGCAGTGAATGCAGAAACAGGGTCGGTGAGAGGTGAGGGATAACCGCGAAAAAGGAATTCTGCACCAAACCCACAATGCTATTTCGCTATTTCTGCGCCAGGTCATGGGAAATGCTTCGTGATTGTTCAGAAAAAGGCACGCAGGGGTGGCGATACGGATGGCGCTGGATGGACGCCTCCCCGAGTGAGCGAGCCAGCAAGCCAGCAAGCCAGCGACTCGGATTCGTCTTCGAGCTTGGATTCAATGGTGGCGCGTCTCCGCGTTCTGCAGACTCTCCCTTTGGATGGATAACTTTCATCGATACTTTGTGAAACGTTTATTCATCTATCATTTACGTTCGTTCGCTTGAATTCGATCTCTCATTCATCGCAGCTCGTGCTTGTGTATGTTTTGTGGCAGCATTAAGAGTGTATTTATTGGGCAAGGCCTATACAAACAAACAAATATATATACAGTGCTCTTTTTGATAATTCCCCCAAATTTGATAATCTTCATTAATTAATCAAAATTTTGTTTTAAGGTTTATAATTGATAATTTTTCTTGCAGCAAATGATACCATTTGTAATGGAAGGGATACTATATATATATATATATATATATATATATATATTTATTTATTTATTTAGGGTGTTGTTAATGCCACCACAATTTTTGCTACTTGCACCACAACTTCCCATCCACCTCATGACATCTTCATCCTTTATCAATGCTAAATAAAAAAATAACAATTAAAAAAAGTCATGTATAAATGTATATCATATTTTATAATAATAATGATATATTTTGAATAAAAAAATAGTTTAAATTTTATTTTTATTGATTTTTTAGTTATTTTTTATTAAAATTAAAATTATTTTTTATATATTTTAAAAATTATATAAATGTTTATGTTGATCTTGATTGAGATTAAAAAAAGAAGAAGAAGAATAAGAAAGAGATTAAAGAATATATCAACATGGTAGCATGATGTAATGGCAATAGCAAAAATTGTGGTGGCATTAGCATTATCATATATGTATATATATATATATATATATATATATATAGACATATGTGTATGTTTGTATCTTCATAGAATAAACATTAAAAAAAATTGATTAATTTATTTATTCTAAAAATATAATTAAGCAAATATTGATAAATTTGAATATATAAAAATAAGACACACACACATATATATATATATATATATATATATATATATTCTTTTTTTCTTTCTTTTATCATTTCAAATCATTTCAAATTATTTATTTAATTATCTGACTTTTAATATTTTATTGATAAATAAATCAATAAAAAAAATTGATTTACAAGTTTTATTTTTATTTTGAATGATTGTTAAATTTTAAGTTTTAATATTTTTAATATTTTTACAATTAATTATTTTAATATTTTTACAATTAAGAATTTAATATATTACAAGTTTTAATATTTTTAAAATAATATGATTTTAAAATACATGAATATAAAATAAATTATTATACAAATTTAAAATATATGAATATAAAATAAATTATTATACAAATTTTAAATACCTATAGTTATTTACAATATTTCATCAAACTATTCAAAAAATAATATAATATGTTAAAGTGCCAAATTTCTAAATGTTGGATTTTAAAATAATTACATATAATTTTTAAATTTATTAAATTAAAAAATTGAGTGATTAATACATGATATAAGTATAATAAATTGTAAGTAACTAAAAAACATTTATACTCATTCATGATAGCAATGATATGGCTTAATTTTACAATTTCAAACTGTCATGGATATATACATTTATCTCAATAGTTACTTATAAGATCACATAGAAGTAGGTAAATATAGATTAATTTCATAAAGTCTTCTAGAGAAGCTTTCTAGAAGCTTTATAGATGCAATTTTGACTTTAGATGTGTTTATAAGTTAGAAACTTGGCCAAGAAGTTAACTATGTGTTGGAAGCTTATAGAACAAATTAACTTTGTATAGTAGCTTATAGAATAAACTAACTATGTGGTACATACATAGATAATTTGCCTTGCAAGTTAAGACATGTAGTTAACAAAGTCAATACATGTTAGAGGTCCTATAGAATATCGTCACGTAGCTCCTAATTAGAAAGTATATATGGAGGTAAGAGTGAAGCCTTCTTCACTCTTGTGAATGCCTTGCTAGTTTATAGTGTTGTTTCAAGACTTTTTAGTCTTATTGTTTTTGGCAATAGCCATTCTAGTTCAATATTATATCATCTTTGGGTGACTTTTTAGTTGTCTTCAGTGACACAAGAGTGTATTGAGGATTTTTTTTTCTTTGAGATTCATATCCTTGACAGTTTGACAAGAGTACTATCCTATTGTTTATGTCTTGTTTTAGAAGTTAGTGGATTATTTGACTTCTATTGTTATATTTTAAAGGTTGCAAACTATCTACTTTTAAATAAAAAATTTTGTTTTCTAATACTGATCTTTTCCTTAAAAAGAGTGGATTATATCTCTTTGTGGAAATTTTTATTAGAGGTTGCAAATTACCTCTTCTAATTTAATTTTTTGATTTTTTTTGAATCATCTATGGAAGAAAAGATTATGAATGCTATTCTCAGAAAAAGTGAAAATAGATTTTCATCTATTGTAGATCTTCATAAATTTATTAAAACTTTAAGAGTAGAAATCTCACGTATTTCTAATGTGAATCATGGAAGTACTATGCTTACACCTATGTAAGACGTTTAGAGTTTGTAGCAAGAAGTTGTGTAATTGAAGGAATCATGTAGGATGATCTCACAACCAAATCTAGGGACTTTTGCTTTTGTAAGTATAACGGAGACAAGGATTAGTATACCTAAGAAGTTTGATGGAACAAGATCAAAATTTCAAGGATTTTTGCAACAAGTCAAGTTCTTTCTAACGTTGCATCCTTTCCAGTACCTTAATGGATTTATTCAAGTCAGATTTATAGGTGTACTTCTATCAGGAAGTGCTTTGTCTTAGTTTATACCTTTAATGGGAAAAGATTTACGACTCCTTTATAATTTGAATTCATTCATAGAAGTATTTACAACCACTTTTGGAGAAAGTATTTGAGAAAGAGTAGTAGAGACTAAACTCTTATCTTTATCGTAAGAATCATAGTTAGCCACTATATATGTTGTTGAATTCTAAAATCTCACTTGTGACGTGGATTGGAATGACAAAGTCCTTATCAATCAATTTTGATATGAATTGAAGGATAATGTCAAAGACTTGTTATTGAAAATATCAAAGATAGAATCTTTGGAACAATTTATTGTTTAAGCCATTGAATGTAACAATCAATTATTTGAAAGATGTCAAGAACAAAGATATCACTGGAAAAGAATAAATCAAATAATGACGACAACTCCTAAGTTTTCGAAAATTTATTTATCAAGGCCAAAACTAATGCAAATTGATACGATACATTTAAAACCTCTTATAGAGTAAGAAAAGAGTTGACCACATTAAAAGAATTTATGTTTATATTATAGAGAAGCTAAATATATTGCTCAACTTTGTCCAAAGAAAAAACTCAATTATAAAATAAGAAGCACAATTGCCAAAAAAAATAATATGTCAGAAAACAAGTTGCTCTAGCTATAATAGAGACCATGAGGCTGGAATCTAATACAACATCTAATAAGGGTCCTATTCTCTCTTCCGATCCTTCACCTTATTTTAGAATAGAAGTCTGTTTAGGACCAAAGAATCACAAAGTCTTAGCCTTGTTGGATTTAGGAGTCTCAACCAATCTTATAGATAAAGACTTTGTCAAAAAATAAGGTTTATCCTTAGTTAAGAAAATCAAACATATACATATAGAAATAATAGATGGATATTCATTATCTTCTAGGGATGTTATACATGAAATTATTTTTGTAGAAATAGCAATTAGTGGTTACAATAGTTTAGTAATATTTAATGTAATTAAATCTCTTTTTAATTCAATCATTTTACGATTATTGTAGTTAGAAAGATATAAGCCTTAGATAGACTCGATTTCTTGCAATCTTAAATTTTTCCATAATTTAGCCCAGGGTCTGCTAGGTAAGTAAAAATCTATAAATCTAGTACATCTAAATCCTTATTGGTAGGTGCAAGAGCTTTTATGCATGCTACAAATAGAAGGCCATCTTTTGCTATATACGACATGCCCATTGCTGATGGTGAAAAAATATCAAGTAGTATTCTTAGCTAGTATCAAGATTTCTAAGACATTTTTTAAAAGAAGAATACATATATTCTTCCGAAGCATTGTCTTTATGATTGTTCCATCGATCTTCAAGAAAGAACTCAACCACCACTTCGACCAATCTAGGCCTATCACAAAATAATTTGGCTATATTTAAAGAAGATATTAATGAAAACTTAGCTAAGAACTTTATATGCCATTCTAAATCTCCAACCGATGCTCGTATCTTATTTGTGAAGAAAAAAGACAGATCTTTGCAATATATATGGATTATTGAGGATTTAACAAGATCACCATCAAGAATAGGTATCATCTACTTTTGATTTCAAGACTTTTTGATCAACTAAATTAAATAAAGTTCTATACAAAAATAGATCTACGAGGAGCATATAATCTGATCCGTATCAAAAGAAATGAATAGAAGACTACTTTTTAAATTAGATATTGATATTTTGAATATAATATCATGACTTTTGGACTCACAAATGTACCAACTATTTTTCAACATCTAATGAATAGTTTCTTTTGTGAATTTCTTGATGATTTTGCTATTTATTATTAAGACGGTATTTTAATCTATTCCAAGAATATAGAAGAACATAAAGTTTATGTTTGTTGTATGTTACAAAAACTAAAAGATGCAAGATTACACATGAAGATGGAAAATTTTGTATTTCACACTATTCAAGTTGACATTTTGAGATACATCATTTCTAATGAAGGCCTTATGATAGATCTAAAGAAGATCCAAACTATCATAGTATCAAGGACAAGAACTTGATGAAAAAGCAATTCAAATAAGTGAGCCTTCACTCAAAGAAAGGTAACAAAATATAAATAAACAAGTATGTACATTGAAAGAGAAATTGGAGTGGCAATTGACAAAAGACAAGAAAATTAGAGACCCTTGAAACTAGACTAGAAGCAAGAAAAGAGTTCACAAGAGTGAAGAAGGCTTCACTCTTATCTCTATATATACTATCTAACTAATGGCTATGTCGAGATGCTCTATAG